TATATATGAAGACGCATATGGAAGAGAGGCTAGAGACTCGGAGGACTAATATTCATATATCATAACGGAGAGAGAGAGAAGCAAGTTGATCAGAATACACATATGAGAGAGTCATATGAGAAGGTCAGCCCTGGATCTTCTCTAGAGATTGTTCAGCTGTCGAAACTTGGTTAGCTGAGCAAAGGTCGGAGACACATTCTTCGTGCAGAGCAAGAAGAAGGTGTAATAGGCCTGGAGTGACACAAACCGAGTTTGGTGTCAGATCACGTAAGTAGACAAGTCAATTCAGAAGAAAGATCTGTTGAGATTGATTGTGTAATTCTTATGTTGATCTAGTGGAAAGGCTATTACACGGATGTGGGCCTCGCAGACGTAGGAGAGTTAGCTCCGAACTGCGTAAACAAATCTCTGTGTATTTACTTGCTTTTGATGTGTGTGTTAGCGCTGGTGTTAGAAAAGGTGTTGTAGCATTCTGTGGTACGAACAGTTGAGCTACAACACAATTTCCAACAGCTTTCTGGTTGTGTTGCTTGTGTTTTTATTTGGTTTATATACTACGCTGTACGTGAGGAAATTTCATTTTGCATATTAACCAGAGCTGTAGGCTCATAAACTTCGCGTTACGAGTTAATCATCAACAAATATGACCAATATAATGATGCATCATATAAAACATTTAAATTGTTTAGAATAGTTAATGGGTCCAATCAGTCGTTCTTGAACAATTTCTAAATATACATGAAAATATATCCCAACTTTCATTATTGATAATCTCGTGATAGTCTTCTAATGAGAACAAGACTCTAGAATCTTCTAGTCCTAATAATAATAGGAACAACTGGTCTTTGAAATAAAACGGACTTGAGTTCTTAATAATTTTTTTATCAAATATAAATTGGGATAATCTAATATGTCATGCTAAAAATAAAAAAAATCGTTAAGTGAATAAACTTCTGGTTTACTTTAAAACAAATCTCGATTAAGTCTCATTATAATGTTCATTTCTATCTTACAAATAACTAGACTCTTAATGCAATAAGGCATTATGTATAACCAAAATAATATTCCTCAATGTAGTAGAATATCAAGTATGTAACACCCCGGCCCCCACCCTGGCCGTAAGTGTCTGCTCATAGGACTGTAGACTGGCCCCACAAACCAACACAAGTCTTTCCCACACACTTTGTCCTCACTCGTGCGCGCCCAAGGAAAGTTCCAAGGGGGTCACCCATCCTAAAATTGCTCCAGGTCAAGCACGCTTAACTTTGGCCGTAAGTGTCTTCTCATAGGACTGTAGACTGGCCCCACAAACCAACACAAGTCTTTCCCACACACTTTGTCCTCACTCGTGCGCGCCCATGGAAAGTTCCCAGGGGGTGACCCATCCTTAAATTGCTCCAGGTCAAGCACGCTTAACTTTGGAGTTTCTAGGTGATGAGCTCTCGAAAAGAAGATGAACCTTGTTGGTATGAGTAGTACTATCAATCCTTTTGAGCTCTTCCCATTCCCATCTTAAGACGGGGTATTACAAGGTATATCTCCCAAAATATTCAATCTTTATAAGGCTTTCAATACCTCCTTCATGGAGCTCTTATTATTTAATTCTCTTCTGGATCTTTGAAGTAGTTTTCTATTACAAAAAACTATATTTACATGCGTTGACTACTTTAATCAAGAGAAAAAAAATCTCTTACATCTTTAAAAAAATAGTTGAGGGAATATAATATATATAATTCTTCTGATCGTAATATATTCACTGCATCATTCTCCAGGAATATTGAAGAGGAATAATATATGGATTAGAACTAAGGTCTTGAAATATCAAAACATGTCTTTATAACGAGATTTTTTTACTAACAATAAGCCACTTCAGGTGGTAGTTAAATATTATAAGACCTTAGGTAGTACCTCATATACCCATATATTGTGTTTGATGAACATGATGACTCTTATTTAAAATAGGAGATTATACATCTTAAAGATTTCTTTTCAGAATTTAATATTTTTCGAGAATATTGAGATTGAAATAGTCAATATTTTTTTTAAAATGTAATTCAATGTGACCATAAAGGTGATCTTGATATATCAATATGTATAACCACAATAGTTGTGATAGCCTATTATATTCATGCATGTGAATCAATTTTTCACTCGCTTCATGGAATGAATATGTAACATGATTTTTTGTCAAAAAAAAACTTTCATAACAATGGAAAAAAATGTAACCAAATATGGAGTATATGAATTTTTTTCTTACACTACCACTCTAGAGGAAATTAGATTCTTAAACACTACTTTGTAATCTCAAACCACATATAACATGCAATTACATATATTGGTCACACAAATTTTATAGCAGCTTAGTATATGACATTAAAATATATCATCGCATAAGGAGAAAATGCATTGGACAATTTTTTTAAAAAAAATCTTTAGGCCATTTTACTTCTAGACAATGGTAAATGCATAAGTAAAAAAATCTATTTTGTTACTCTCTTTGAGAGATTATAGACCTTAGAATAAATATCAAATTTGATTTACTTTGAGAACAAAATTTGAAACTTTAATTAAAGTTCTCTTTTATATGTCATATACTCCGTATTTCTTATATATGAATCACATTTGGGATCAAGTAATAAAATGTGTACTTTTTTCACATGAACACATGTATCAATGTTTGTGCACAATCACAACTTTAAGAAGCAACAATACAAGATTTATATGTATATGACCAAGAACTAATGGTTCATCATTTTCTCTTTCGAGAAAAAAAAATATAACTTTCAATTTGATTTTCTATGGTAAATTTCAAGAGTTTGAGAAAAATTTTTAACATGTTCACAATCGAAAAACATTATATCTCATAAAAAGAAAATTATACATCTTTTTAGGGAAATAATACATTTCAAACATGACTTGATAAAGTATTTGATTGGAACAGTTTCACAATGGGATAGGCACACAAAGACCCCTAATTGACCACAAGTTTAGATCAATAGAGTGGGTTTCACCCAAACATAACAACATAAGTATCAATCTACAATTACTTCTGGATCTGAGGTGAGAGGATTGTATCATAAAGTAAGGGACAACAACAACAAGCCCAATAAAGTCTCACACATGGTTGTATCAAACACAACAATATGTAATGGAAATACAAAGACAATGCCTAAATAAATTTGAACTACTTTAAAGCTAAAGCAGGGATATGTGGTTTTATGAATACAAGGCACCAACCAATTTGCTAATATTATAAGGTAGGTGCTCAAATTTGCAACATCAATTTAAAGGTGAACGGGAAAATTCACCAAACTGTTTAGAGAGTAAAACAGCTTAAAAGTAAGTTTGTGTAGCGCTCTAGAAACCAGTCTAGAAGTTAATCAATAATTAAATAAATAAGAATTGTTTATTCACGACAATCTATTCTTTTAAAGAATTAAAAGATACTTTGAAGATCCTAATAGTCTCAATGTAATGAAACTAATCTGATTATATTTCTAAAGATTTAAATTAAAAGACTGATTGGTACTAATTAATCAAAAGAATTAAGACACACCATATGGAACTTATAAGTACTTTTCAATTGATTATAAAAGTTATATCGTTGGGTAAGGATCGATAAATCGAATCCAACGATGCCAACGGATCTCAATTCAGAACAAGTTGGCCTGAAAAATATGTTTTTAGACACATTATTTTAAATTAGGGAGCACAAAACTCCCTCTTAGTTTTTCTTCTTCTTCTTCGACTCAAAGTCGCCACCAGGACCCAGCGACTTTCTTCGAATAGGCGAAGTAGCATCGCTCAAATCTAACGGTGAATTCCGACTAGCGACGTCGTGACCCAGGGCAGAGCCGGCGGCAAGTTGCCCCGTGACGAACGTCCTAACTCGTCTCTGCTCCAGTGACGACCCGATTAGGCTCAGTGGCGCAGACTCCGATCTCCTCCTTCGATCGGGGTGCAGCGACGACAAGCATGCGGGATGGCGATTGACAACGGGGGTTGTTTCCAGCGGCGACGAACCAGTAGACTCCTTCCGGTGATGAACTCAGATGCTGGCAAGGACGGCGGTAGTAGCGACATGAATTCCAGCGGTTGAGCAGCGGCGGTAGAGGGCGCGGGTAACGACTCTTCTGGGCAGCGGTGGTAGTCTGGGCAGCCGTATTAGTTCGGGAAACAGGGCGAATCTATTCCGACGATGAATTCTGATCGACGTACTTTTAAATTGAATCGAGGTGAGTACGTGGAAATCTAACACTAGAATATGCATCTAGGCTTGAAATTCCATTCATAATTGTTATCGTTAATTTATGTGATTCATTTGTGTGATTGTTGATTGTGGTTTCGGGAATTGTTGTCGTTGAATCAAAAAGGGTAGTATGCATGATTTAGGCGTTGATTGACGAGTTAATGTGTTTGATAATGTCTAGAATGCTAATGTGAACCTATCAGTATTTGTTGTTATGATATTGTTGTTGAGTTGATGATGAAAAACGAAACAAGTAAGAAGGTGGAAAAGTACTGCGTCAGATGGTAGGCGGTACTGCCGGGACGATATCGTGCTACCATCACACTCTGTTGGTTTCTTTCGCCTCTGCTGGTAGCTGCGACTGTACAGTACCTAGGTAATGGACGGACGATAGGCCCTACCGCCTGGTCGGTAGTCGGCTACCGTGGCAGTTTTACCGGAAGGGTCAGTTAGTTCGGACGCTACCCCAGTACCGCATGACTGGTACCCAGGAACCGTGAGGACGGTACTCTGTACCGTGATAGGTACCATCTGGTACCTGATGCTAGGTCTTTCGATATGTGTTTTCTTCAAGGATTAATTTCGAGACTCCGTGTGTTACATGATGGTAAACATGAATGTTTACACCCAATGTTAGGCCGTTATTTGATTATGTTGGATATCTTGTTAAATGCATTGTGGATTTATGAATGTTCTATTATGCATTGATTAATGAATGTTGGATATATCACCAAGAAGAACTCTAGGAAATGACCTGAATGGATTAGTGGCAAGGTATGCCATAAGGATAGTAAATTAGAGCCATGTGGTACTTGCTGGTCCAATGGATATTCGGGTAAAAACGTGTACATAGGGATCTAAGAACTATCGTTTGGAAGGGGAAATGGATCTCACCCACCCAATGAGGAACTCCAGAGTTGGTTTGAGCTAGACCTTCATTCCGAAGGGGAAGGTCATGACTCCCATAGACAAGTCGAATTCAGTTAAGCTTTAACCTAGCATAGGTTAGAGGCCAGTATGATAAGGAAAGTAAAGTAAACTAAAAAGGAAAGTTCCTAATACTTATATCGTTGTTGTTTGTATCTTATGAACTATTATAATATTGATTACGCATGTTACACTTTGTATATTGTATAATTGTTGCTATGCATGTTGCGTGCATGATATCATGTGATGGTTGTGAATTAGTGGTTTCGCCTATGTGTATGTTCGAACTGTTAGATATTTCTCACCCAGCTTCATTGCTGAGCGTGTAGCCCCTTTTTCTCCTTTGTTACACGTAGGTGGTTTTGAAAGATTGATTCTAGAGTCCATCCAGGAGAACAACATGACAGAAGAGATGTACGGATGCAGGACTTTAGTAAAGTTAATGTTTGACTAAATTATAAAGCTTCCGCACGGTTTGTATAAACTTTGATATGTATTTAAATTGTTTTAAGTTGTTTGAGTTTAAATTAAATGTTTAATTTCTTAAAAATATTGTATGTGGATACCAATTTAGTAGCAACCCAGTTCGCTAACCTGTTTGTTCGGGTTACGCGGGTTAGGGTGTTACATTTTTGTATCAGAGCATATGGTTTTAAAATCAGACTTCGGACCATTGTAAAGTACTATTTCGGAGCATATGGTTTTTTCTCAAACTTTATATATATATATATATATATATATATATATATATATATATATATATATAT